GTCACTGAGCTGCGTACTTTATAAAAGTACCTCACCTTCCCTGAGCTGTATGTATTTATATACAGTACCTTTTACTATAATAGGACAGATTTAAATCTGTATTTTTACGCTATATAGTGTATCTTAACTATCTAGTACCCATTTTGGAACTGTAGATTTGGTGGACCTTTACTTAATAGGTCATATTTTCATGATGGCATTTCATAGACAGACTTGGAGAGTCTTCCTCTAGTGACTATCCAGACAGCAGACAGAGTAGTCGGTATCCTAGCTTAATCTTGGTTCTAATTGTATCTGTTGCATTGCGTAGAATACAACTTGTAAAGGGGGGTGGGATAAAAATACGCCCCCGGAGCTTTTAAACATAATGTGCTAGTGTGCACAGCATATTGGCACATAATGGCAGACTTGCCTGCCAAACCATCCTCTCCCTTGCTGCTGCTTCCATCTTTTTCCAGGGCCTGACTCTGGCCAGCTTGATTGGCCAGGCCCCAGTGATGTAACTCCCTTGCATGTGCAAAAAAGTTACTTCATCTTGGCATACTGAACTGCACATGCACAGTCTCTTCTGTCTTAGAAAGCCTCCCAATCGGCAATGTAATGTAACCAATCAGCTTCTAGCTTTCATTTTCAAGTCTTTCAACTGAACAAACTGAAGAGAGAAGCTGATTGGTTGCCATGGGGCAACTGCTTCAGATTCTGTCCCAGTTTTCATAAATTCCCCCTCAGCGGTTTTTCTCATTCACCCCCACACTGGGCTATTGTATTCTGACATCCTGCGACTGTCGATGCCCAAACAGTGGCTGCAACTGATTGCCTACAGTCCCTTTTCAGCCAACAATTTTCAGCCCGGTTCCTTCAGTTGAAAAGCTGACTTTTGTTAAACGGAGGGGTGTCAGTGGGGCCACACACTATTCAAATTTCGGCAAATTTCAGTAGGACTCATAGACGGTATATGGTCAGCCTAACACTGAACATGTTTTAGTAGAGGAGAGCAGAGAGCAACTCATCAATGTGCTGCTGCTTCATTGACTACTCATCAGGTCAGGGGGAAGGGAGAGAGATGACTAAGGAAGCAGAAATTCAGTCACCCATGAGTTGGATTGATCTGATTACTATGACTTTAGAGGGAGTAGAGCTGTGCACCCAGAGGATGTATTCAGCTATAAAGGGTAAGATGGGACATGTATACATGTCTGGTGCATAGAATAGAAATAATGGAGTTGATTTTGGTCCAGGTTTATGCTGTAACTTGTTTTCTTGGATGTGGGAGGTGTCCTCTTATGTCTGTGAGTAAGCTAATACGCATTGATATGGTAAGTTATTAGTAAGTAGGTGAGGTCAACTCATTTGCATAGGTTTCTTAAAAGAAGTATATTTTTTTACAAATGTTCATATGAAAAATCTGGTCAGAACATTTGATGCCATCAGAGACTTGACAAGTATTTAAAAAAAATGTAATCTGGTTTAGCATTTATTTTGCATTGAGTTTCTCAAGCAAAAACCATTTAAACAGAAGCTTGAGACCAAATTTCCATCCTTCGCCATTGATTTTTATTCCCGGCATTCTGGTTAAAAATGATTCATCAGTTTGATCCCGATTTTAACTATTAGAAAATCGAAATCAACTTTCTGGAAATGACTTTCCTTTCAAAGAAAATTCTAATGGTTTATTACCAGCTTAGGGTCTGGTAATGACTTAGAGTCACTTTTATTTTAAACCTGTATGGGGGCTGCTATTGTCTGTCTCTGACTCACCGATCTGGAACAAATGGCTACTGAAGTCAGAACTCCTTGCTTGTTCTAGGTCGGTGAACATTTTGAAGCCCAGGGATCAGTATGATAGCCAGTCAACTAGCATTTTCAGGAGGAGAGGCCACCTCTTGAAGCTGGGTATATTGCTGTGCTGTTTCTACCACACTCCTACACACACTTAAAGGGTTATTAACCCCTCTGGGCTTTTTTGCATATATCTAATGCTAGCAAGCAGTAGATACATGCAACAACATTGAAAAAAAAAAACTTTCAAAAAGGTTTGAAGGTGTCTTTGCCGTGCACTTCTGTCTGAAGAGTCTCGGGCGGCTGTATAGAAGGATCATAGGACGGGCGCATGCGCAGTTCAGATCTTCGGCCGGGAGGCGAGGGTAGACATGGGGTAAGTCGATGCAGGCAGCCCAGCAGCGTGCACCCACACAGACTCCGTGGACACAGAAGACGCAGCAGTCAGTGTTGGGGGAGGGGAGAAAATGTTTTGACTTAAATGTGACTTTTTTGTAAGGCAGTTAATTAACCCAGCAGTATATTTTTGTATGTACAGGGGGAAAGCAGAGATGAAAACCCACACAGATGCAATCGTGTCTTATGCTAGTCAGGGCACACCTATAACATTTGGTGGAGCCCAAATCTGTATCATTAAGAATCTAATGCACAACATGTAGAAAAGACATAACTACTGTTGTGCAAACGCAGTCCCTGTTATAGACAAGTTGATTTGTAGCACTAAAATGGACCTTGGATCAAACCATTGAATAAGCCATTTATAGTGTATCATTGTAATTCTTTTCAGTCCAGGGGGCCGACTGCTGGTTCGTGTCTGCTCTTTTTACTAATTTGCTTGCAAATCAACAGATCTTTTCTATTTGCTTACCCCACCTTTGCTCGTATAGGATGTTCTCGGTCATATTCAGAGGCATCCTCATAGCACCTTCTAAATGAGAGAATAAGGCAAGGTCGAAAAATATAATGAACATGTTTAAGGCAAAGTGTTAAGTGTTCTGGAAGTGCATATTTTGTTGTTCCAGTGTCTACCTGAAAGAGTAACAGAACTCTGGAAGTTGTGCCTGAAAAGTAGGGATGCACCGATACCACTTTTTTAAGGCTGAGTACCGATACTTTTTTTCAAGTACTCACCGATACCAATTACCGATACTTTTTCTTAAAGGGACAGGTCACATTTTTTCTAAAGCAATACAAAATCATGATTTTAGGTCAGTTTCTTAATATTATGAAGAACATGAACACTCTGTAGTGTGGCACAGCTATATCCAATTCTGCATACCTGGCTTTATATTATAAGAACTTTATAATATAAAGCCAGGTATGCAGAATTGTATACAGCTGTTCCACACTATACAATAATACACTGTTCTGGAGTCTGGCCATGTGATAATCTATTTTCCCCACTAGGGGGATACAAGCCTTAGTTAGCAATGCCATGATAAATTATTAATTTCATTATTCAGTGTCTTTTTTTTAATATTATAACATTTATAATATTAAAAAAGACATTGAATAATGAAATTAATATTTATCATGCCATTGCTAACTAAGGCTTGTATCCCCCTAGTGGTCAAAATAGATGAGCACATGTCCAGACCAGAACAATGTGTGGCACAGCTACAGCCAATTCTGTATAACTGGCTTTAGGCTTTATATTATTATTAACTGAAAAGGCTGGCAGAGGACAAACGACTAGTTCCCAATGTTGCCTGCGGTACCCCTGGAGCTGATCTTTCTCCATTATTGAGTTACCATGTCTCGTTCTGAACTGTCTCTCTCTGTAGGCGGCCATCTTGTTAGAGACGTTTTCTTCATGGCAGAGCCTTCAGCGAAGAGAGCAGCACAGTAGTGACATCCATATCTCGCGACCAAATCTCTAAAGACTAGCAGTCAGATGCAGCAGTGTCTTGGATCTCACACTGAAGATAGTATGAAGACTGTATAACAATGCTCAGTATTACCATTTGATCATGTAGTTTAGGAAACTCCCCATCACTGTTTCCTTAGTCAATCATTATGGGAAACGGTATAATAATTCAGGTACCTTGGGCTATGCTGCTGCCTTCAGGAGACTGGATGCTGGCAAACAGGACCTCCCACTCCCAGCAAGCCTCAGTTTTTTTGCTAGAGCCCTAGGAGAATGGACATCTGCTTTTTACTTCTATGTGTCTTGAGGCCCAAAGCCTCTTCCCAAGCTAGTTTCTTCCTTCCTCCATAACCAAGACATTTGTGTTGCTGTCTTTATGTCCTGCTCTGATACCCCAAGGAATTTCCCTCCACTGTCTGGATGTTGTATGCTATTTTCAATCTTCTCTCAGTTACAGCTTCCATTAGGCAAACTTGCTCTGTTTTTGTTATCCCTGAAGGTCTCCATAGGGGACAGCCTGCTTCATGTTCCACTATCTCAAGGTGGATTAGACAGGCTTACTTGTCATGTCTACAGATTGAGGACAAGTTTCCACCTTTCCCTGCCAAAGCACACACCATTATGTCAGTTGGTGCTTCTTATCAGGTATTTGTTTCTCAGATTTGCAAAGCTGCCACCTGGTCTTCCTGTTCACATATTTAGGTTTTACCAGGTGGATGTTCATGTCTCATCTGATGCTAGCTTCAGTCATAAGGTACTTCAAGCATCTCTGTGGGCTCTATTGATGGGAGGGGGCGGGGGTGAGCTAGTGAGGTCATCACCTGGGTAGCTCCGTCATCATCCAACACTGGAGCTTCACCAGGATGGCTTTGAATGACCGTGGATTGGTGAGTATACATTGCTTAGGAGTTATCGGGAGATGTCACTTTACTCTGATTTGGCACTCTGACATCTTTTATTAATCTACCTACTTGGTGTTCTCCTGAATCAGAAGTATGTGACAGTAGTAGACTCACCGGTTAGGCTGTTTACAAACACCTGAAGGTTTTCATAGGACCTGTATAGCATTAATCTATATCACTTGCCCCTCCGTTTTAGATTGTAAGCCCTCACGGGCAGGGCACTCCTTACCATCTTCTCTTGAATTGTATTGCAATGTCTTCCTTGTATTGTAAAGCGCTGCGCAAACTGTTGGCGCTATATAAATCCTATATAATATAAAAAGTGATGTTTACATACATGTTCCGTATATCGCCGTTTATATGTCTTCTGTTGCTGCATGCTAAAAATATAAATTGTAAGATATTTTAAATGACATTTCTGTTCTTACACTATTCTGTCTCTCTCTTTACAGCTTTCTGGGAGGACGAATTTTGGTCCTTTTCAGATAAAGTGCCCACTGATGAAAATCACAACCTGACGTTGAAAGTACATTTTGGATAATGCCTCCCACATCTACCAAAGCTTCTGCTTTGTATCCAGATGACATTTCTGGGTTCCTGTGCCTGCCTCCTGCTTCTGATGATCTTCAAGTGATTTGGTCTCGGGCAGAGCTGACTGAGGAGTTGGATGATAACCCTCAGCTCATCAGCACCTTTAGCTTTTTTCCATACCCAAGCATGCCAGAAATTGCTCTACTTTCTCTACGGTTCGGGTTGCAAATGGAGAAAGTGAAAAACTGGTTCATGGTACAGAGAATTCGTTGCGGAATCAGCTGGACTCCAGAGGAAATTGAGGAAACGCGGGCACGGCTCAATTATAATCATGATCAATTTCATTTCAAGCCTCTGATTGCCCTGGCCAAGAAGTCCAATGTGCTCCGATCAGATGAATTTTCAATTCCTGCTCTAAAGGCAAGAGCAAGGCAAGCCATGGCCTCTCGTTCTTGCACATCACCTGTTTATAATGCCCCAGAATCTAAGAGGATACGATTAAGCTGTAAACTTCCAGACAAGGAACCTCTTAGAGCTAATGAAAGTACTTCTGTACACCGACTAAAAGGCTGTAGCAGGGACTTTACAAGTGAATCTAAACCCAATTCTCTCATCTCAAATGCTCAACCAAAGAAAAGGCAGGAGCCTGATAAGCCAGTTAAACCATCTGCTGCCAGCTTGATGTTGGGAGTGGATGGGAGAGAGATGAACTCAGTTTCATATTATCCCTCTGAGGAGGAACAGATGTCTTCCTCTTGGCATATGAGCAATGGTGAAGGAGTGCAAGTTTCAGGTTATATTGATCAAAATGGAAACCTTAGGAGAGAGGATAGTGCGCCAGGCATGAGACGCCAACGGAAAAGTAAACAACAGTTGCAAATTCTCAAATCCTTTTTTCTGAAGTGCCAGTGGGCTACCAGGGAAGACTACATGAGGCTTGAAGAGATTACTGGACTACCAAGAGCAGATATCATTCAATGGTTTGGAGATACACGTTATGCCCTTAAACACGGCCAGCTTCGGTGGTTCCGTAACAGTATGCAAGAGCATCCCACTTGGCTCGATGATTCTCAGCATGTCGGTAATGTTAATGGAAGACAAAGTGATGGTGGCTCACCAGTCCACGCAATGTCCTCTGCTATGACAGAGGTGCCTGATGATGATGATGATGATGTTATAGCATCATCTAGTCAGCATTCAGGAAACACTGTAGTAAGTGAGGAAATTTCTGACGATGAACCAACTTTTTCTGGAAAATCAAAACCCGGGCACAAAGTTTCCAATTTCAAACTTCTGGTAAAAAATTGTTCAAAACCTAAGACTCCTCAAGGTCCCATTTCATCTTTGCTTCAGAAAAAATATGATGTTTTGGAAAACTATCTGTGTGTAAACAGTCAGTTCCATGCGCAGGACTTGGAGGAATTAGTTACAGAATCTGGCTTAAGCCATCAGCAAGTACTGAACTGGTTTTCTTGTAGATCAAAGGATCCAGATGAGGTTGAGATCTGTGTTGTTGAAGATGAGGATGATGATGATTTTGAGGACGATGACGACAACGATGTTGTTATTCAGGACTAGTGTTGAACTGCTTTAACCAGTGATTTGGAAATTGATATTGTCATTACAGGTATCTAATTAGCAATAGACTGAATACAAAAAATCCATATGCAATAAAACGATTAGTTGTTGCTGGAACTCACAATATAAAATGATACATTTATATTTATTTTTTCACTAACAATTTCTTTTAGCTGGCGTATGCAGCGAAACAGTCATGGAATGATATTCCATATGTGTTATGCAGGTTTGCAAAACTACTGTGAAACGTTTCCACTATTTCCCCATGCCAAGCACCAATACCACTGCTCATTGGGCAGTGGTGCTGGATCTTGAATTCTGCCCTTTTCAGATGTCCATTGCTGTACACAAAGTACAGCCTTAAGTGTTCCTACAGTGGTCCCATTAGAAATGGCTATTCATCCAGTATTGGTGGCATGGGTAGACCCTAGGAAAGCACAGAGATGCTGGAGGTGTAGGCAAGTAGTTGTAGGAGATAGCCGTTTGTTTGGTAAGTCATTTTGTAGACGGCTATATTGCTGTTTTTTTAACATGCCCATATACCAGTAGTTTTATGAACTATATTTGGTCAGTAGTTTAAAGAGGTTTTTAGCAGTAATTGGAAAGATACTTCAACATGCATATTTTTTGTTTTAGCCATGTAGCTGAACTGCTTACAGTACACAGTAACAGACCAATACAAGAATCTAGAGATGAAGAGGTCAACTGCTGTACCTCAAGGCAGGTCTATAACATGAACCTTATCTGGAGAATGTATGAGGATTTTTGAGGTTAAATAGCAGGACGTTATTTTTATTAAACATGTACATTCTGGGGAATTAGAGAATTGTCTTTTATTTTAGCATCTTTGCTAATATGGGTTATCGGCTACTCATGTTGCAAAGTTGCATTTGTGGTATAGGACTGCTATTAAAGAACATTGATTGGCCTGTAAGGGAGGAAGTAAAAGACGGGTTTATTTACGTTCACTTTGCAAAGTGAAGTTTCACATAGCTTAGTAAATGAGGTAAAGTTGTGCGGACTTCATCCCTCATGTGATTTATTTATTTACTATATATCTATATAGATGTAAAAAAATTTTTTTTTACTTGCGTATGATTGGGTATTCCTTGAATTTTGACGAATTTTCACCTGCTTAGGAAATGAGTTGAAGCTGAGTAAAAATTCATAGTGGATATGCTTTATCCTGTTAGTAAATCAACCTCACCTTCATCCCATAAAAGATTGTGAATTCTCTATACTGGCAGGTGTGATAGAAATCTGTCTTCTGGTTTATTTGCACTTTCCATGGGAATGTGCATTTGTCAATACAGCTTGAAGACTAGCTCCAGCCAAATTGTTCTTTTTACATTTAGTTTTGGAAAGCGTAGAAAGGCTAGAATCTGAGTTTTAAATAGGGTCTGTATTCCATTTATGGAGTCCTTTGCTCTCTTCCTCTTATAATTTGGCACTTGTCATATCAAAAGGGATTGAGGGGAAATAACTAGGGATTTTCAGATACCAGTGCAGATACTTGGCATTTTCATGAGAACTACCAGGGTTGCAGAGGTTGCAGCTGGGACCTGGCTCTGGCGCTCCACCACTGTCCTGCAATCATTAGTCTGTATTGTTTTAGAAAAACAAATGTATCAGTTCTTGTAAGTACTTCGGCAAGTATCTGATACTAAAACAGAGATGTACAAATCCCAGGAGCTCCGTGTGCTCCTTACAAATGACAGCTGCCTCCTAACTTGTGAATTTTTCTCTAGTCTAGTCTTGGAGCTCAAAATGTTCTGTACTTGTACCGAGTGCGGTACGTGGTATCGGTGCATCCCTAGAAATAACCTCAATGGACACACACACAACAATACAACTTGGCAGGACCAAACTCTTTACTCATTCTATGAAAAAAAGTTGTTTTTTTTTGCAGTTTGTGCCAGTGGAGTCCTCACTTTTTCATCTGGCACCTGTCAATTAGACAAAACATAAGGGAGAAAGCTTCACACAGGCAATTGCTGCAGAGACTTGTCAAGGGTTCTAAGCCTTCCCCCACTTTATCTAAATCCCAAAACCATTTTGGCTGGAGCTTGACTTCAAATACTGTGAGCTAAACATTCTCCAAATGTTTCTTTCCTCTCAAAACAAAAACAAGGTTTGACAAGCATTTAATTAACCCCTTCGTGACTGACGACGTACAGTGTACGTCGCCAGCATCGGGGCTGTTTAAACAGACTCCCGGATTATACTGTGTGTGACCTGCTTTACATCTCTTCATTTTAAGTTGTATTGTTATTCGGAAAGGCTTATTTCTAGATAGACTGATTGGACTGTTCTAAACAATGGCATTTATATTTGCACATTAGGAATACATAAGAAAGGTGCCTTTTGTGTAAATCATTTTGATGGCTGCATAGTCTGCACATAAGAAATTACGTTTGTTTTTCCAACAGCCTTCTTTTGGTCAATGGAGACGTAATAGGGGTAGCAGAAGTAGCAAGTACACTGGAAGAACACCGCTAAGTTGCAGGTCTGCTTAGTTCTGCCAATGAAGTGCCAGTATATGCTAAATAAGGGCTGGACAAATCCCAGGAGCTTGGTAGCCAATGCTCAGGGCTTTAAAAATGTTAAAACATTTTTTATTTTATTTTAAAGGCCTTGCACATCTCATTACAGTATTGCTGAAAGTGAAACTCCAGGAATGATCTTCCCCCTTTTTTTTTTGCAATCCTACATTAGTCCAGGTTGGCTCAATTGTAAATACAGATACTCCTCGCTTAACGACTTACCTGTTTTGCGACCACTCGCACTTACGACCGTCCTCCGAGCGACCTCAGTGCGACGTGTCGCCGGGGGAAGTGACGTCCTCCGTTCTTCACAGCGTGTCCCCGTGAGTATTTTTATTGCCCGATGTACAGTACACTGTTCAGTACTGTACATCGGCAACGCTATACAGTACTGTACTAATGCAGTACAGTACTGTATAGAGTTCCTCACTTAACGACCAATTCGTTTAACGACCTGGTCGTAGGAACGGAACTCGGTCGTTAAGTGAGGAATACCTGTATACATATTGGACATCCAGAGGGCTGCTGTAGTATCGGATCTTCCGGCTGAGATTACAGAAGCTTTCCTTCTGTACACAGAGGCTTGCTTGCTGATTCGTTGAGATAAATACCGTGTTTCCCCCAAAAATAACACACTGTCTTATATTTTTTTGCCCCAAAAAAACACACTAGGTCTTATTTTCAGGGGATGTTATTTTTTTTGGTGCAGGTGCACAGTGCTGCATCTGTGGATCAGTGTAAAAGCACCCCAATACGGTAATCACTTCAGAATGTCAGAAAGTCCACTGTCTTTTATTTACTGACCTTAATGGTATGGTAAGAATGAGAATAATACTGTTGCTCTCGTTATTTTCCTGCTGGTCAGTATCGGTAAAGCAGATTCCATTCTTTCACAGACGGAGTGCATCTGGCATCACTCCGCCTGTCACAGTAACCGGCGCTATAGACGAAGTAGCGGCTAATGCGGCTCTGCTCCCTCCGCTGCTGCAGCCTTGCTTTCTACAGCTTCCTTTACCATCAGGGACAGCGGTGCAGCAGTGGGGACATCGGACAGCGCGATATAGTACATGCTACCGCCAAACTAGGTCTTATTTTCGGGTAGGTCTTGTCTTACAGGAATCTTGAAAAATAGTGCTAGGTCTTACTTTCGGGGTAAGTCTTTTCGGGGAAACACGGTAGGAGGGGAAGATGTCACGATCTCCACCTCATCCAATCAGAGGACACCTTGTATTGAGCAGCTGATAGATCACACCACTGTATGGCGTTTGGACTACTACAGCGA